TTTTAGAACAAATGTTGTCATGTAAGAAAACGCTTGTCTTATTCATTCCCTCAGTCTATTGTCTACTTCCAGTGCTTAAGCACTGCTTTCTTAAGAAAGCATTTTCACTATAAACTGTTAGAGCATCAGTTATTAGTGACTGAAATAAGTTGATGCGCTGTTTCAAAGGTCTGATAATTCATCCTTTTGATTACTACTCTCAAAGCGTAGCTCCGAGTTTCTTAGAATTCTTACTTTTATTTTCCTGAATTTTATGCTTTCTCTTTGGAAATAGAACAAATGCATCATAGAATGATACAACTGTCTTATTAATGCTTTCTCTTTAATTATTTTTATAATTTGCAGATCTCTATTGAAGTTTTTTTTTGCCACCAACTGTGGACTCTAGCTGTTTACAGGTGTTGGCCACTACTGAGGCCAGAAGCGGCACACCTAATATATTTCTAACAGGTGTGTCACCATTGCCTTCTATGAAGAGATAGACAAATTACATCCAAGCCTACTCTGGGATTCCAATCTAGGCCTTTCAGTATGGCAGTCAGAGTCACTAATGATTTTCCCCATCACTAATTAGGTCACTAATTTTTCCTGTCAGTTATCAGGTTGAAACACAATGATGTAAACAAATCAGGGAATTCAGAACTGTCATTTGAAGATGGATGTCTGCTAAACTGGGTTGTTTGTTAACAATGATTCAACTGCAAATTTTTCAAAATCCCATTTTGATGAACAAAACATCAGCTTTAGCATATGGCTGCATATTTACAGGAATCTGCAACTAAGTTAATTGAATTATGACCTGTAATTCATAAATGAAGAGGCTCTATCAATATGTTATCAAAACAAATTCCACAAATATTCAATTAAATTAGTATCAGCCAAGTTTAATTGTTTTTCAAGGGATAGTATGTTGAACATAAATTTAATGAATCTTTACCAAAAGTCTAATGGCTTGAAGTGTTATCCAAAAAAAACTATCAGCCTATGGTCAGAAACTATAAGGTATATATAGCCAGTTAAAAATAAAAGAACAAAAATAAATTTTAAGACTATTGATCTCAACACTGTCAGGTTTGAGGTACCAACTCATACTGATATGTTTAATATATACAACTGAATACATATTCTGGTAGCTAAACCTGTCATAGGCCACACACAACATACGAACATGAAATTTTAATCCCACACAAGACATATCCTCATTTTTAGATGGTTGTCAAAAACTGAACAAGAAATATAAATACATGACACATGATTTGTAAACCCAGCACATCATCAGTTATGTTTTTATTCTATTCATAAGGAGGCAACATGTTGATATTCATATGGATAAAGGGTCCATGTTGAATGCCTATTTTGCATCCAACTCTTCAAAAAGATGAGTTTATTGATTATAGCAACGCAAATAAGGGTTATCTACTTAGATGTTTTCTTATATGATGTGCTAGGAAGACTGGCTTGTATTCACATTATACAATAGAAAAACAAGAAAACCTCATATAGTCATTAAGTTCAGCCAATGGGAATGAAAACAGACAAACTACCATGAATAAAACCACTACATTTTTCACCACTGCATTTCATGAATAGAACGCGGGATGAACTTCAATGGACACATGTTATTCATGACACATGTTATTCATGACACATACTATTCATAACATATATTAATTACTATATATTATATTTAAGTGGTGAATTATGCAGCAGGGAATTTAAAGCTTAAATATAAAGAGATATATTCATCACAAAATAAATAAAAATTTGATCATTTCATGCATGTTCATTATTACTGATAATTTTGCCTTTAACACCACCCAAAATATATACTTAAAAAACTCTTACAGAATGCTCTAAGAATAAAATATAAAGCCATTGTATGTTTTAAAATCCAAAATGAAATCTTTCACAAATTTCATAACAAATTCTTGATAATATAGCTTATATCAAAACTACCATCTTAGTTGAAATAAAGATTGTGTGTGTATATATATATATACAGTACAAAGTCCGTAATCCAAACGCCAATTATCCGGACTGATCCATAATGAAGACCTCAAAGCCACAAACTTTCACATGCATTTTTCCACCACGCATGCACATAAAGCCAGTAAAACATTTACACATGTGCACTTCCGATAGTGAAGAAAGTGACAGAGAGGTTATTGAAAACGAAAAAATTTCGATTGCCAAGTCAGTCGATATTCTCGACACAGCAATTATAGGATTTGAACAGTGGAACTTTGTAACTGAACAAGAAATTATGTCTGTTTATAGAAGAGAGAATTAAAGAGAAAGTTTGGCACAAAAAAAAAAGCAACTTAAACAACTTACATTGAAAGAAATGTTTAATAAACAAATAATCATTAAGCTTTTTTTTTTGATACCCTTTAGATAATAATTGCTCTTTATTTCATAAATTACAGTTTCATATATTTTAATTTTATAATTTCTGCATGACATCTTACCAGATTTAAATTGATGATCTATAATCCAGAATCGCCAAAATCCCGACAAGTCCGGATTACGGACTTTTTACTGTTATATATATAATTAAAGAAAAGAGAACAAACTAAAAAAAGACCTTTGTGGTCAAAAACTTTGCACAATGAGCTGCAAAATTTAGAAAACAAGTTAAAAAAAAATTCCTAGTTTGTATGCCAAAAAGTTGTTTAGATACTGTGGTTCCGTTGACAATATTGGCATAAGTAAAATAAAGTGCAATGAAAAGTGTAAATATAAAAGATTAAATAAACAATATAAACACACTTGAATATTTACAAATAAAATTCAATACTAATTGTAAGTAATATGCTGATCAAAGTAAGGCATATTTTAAACATTAGAATTAAAGTGTGACAAAATACTTAAGGAAAAAACAAAAACAAAGAAGCGGTAAATGGTAGATTAGCCCAATTCGAATCACATTAAGGACTCTTTAGGGGAAAATATGACATTTTGCCGAAAGAGACAATTGAAACTGTATACGAAACTCCTTTTTTAAATATTAATTGAAAACACTTAGTCATAAATTTTAGTCTCAATTCTATGTTCCAATTTCCCGACGCGTCCGCTTGAAGAAACACGTTAAGGTTTAATAATAACTATACATAATGGACTGGTAATGCCAATGTACAAAATAAAATAGATAGCGATTTGCTATTAGTAAAAAAATGCAAGATTTTATGGAGGACCTACTAGCTTATAGAGTTTAAACTTTGCGAATGTACCAAAAATTAAATTAAAAATTTATAATAAAAAATAAAGAAAACTAAAAATTTTATTAAAAGGGTCTTGTTAAGGCCAAAACTCAATACAAGGAAAAATATTTTTTAAAAACAGATCTGGAATGTCGATGTCTTCTATCTTGAACTATGCAAACTCAAAAAGGGGGTGAAAGCCTCGAGCAAGGAAATTGCCAACCACTAGGCAGTATGACGTAAAAAAGGGAAGGAAATGTCATGAGGAAAGAGCGAATGAAAAGTGACTGACCGTTGGCATAAACCTGACTCAGGGGGAAGTACTATGCCAAATTTTAAGAGTAAAATTGGAGCTGTGAGAGGAATTAATTTTACATTTATACATTAGATCTTCTGAATCAGCCATCCACTTTACACCATCCCATAGGGCTTTAAGCATAAAATTTCATTATTTAACTCAAAAAATCTAAAAGATAAAGTTAATACCAGCTTTTTTAAACGCATTTTTAATGATTTTTGTAGGAATTAGGTTGTTCTTCAAGATAGTTACAAAGTAGAGTATTTCTTCTTGGAGGTATTTTGTAGTATTACAGATTCTTTTAATTCTAAGTAGTTGTGCATAAATTGTATTGAGGACGACATTTTTAGAAATATTGGAGTTCCAGTTAGTTAATTTAAGTGTAGGAAAGTAGAAATCTCTTCGTTTATTGTAGATTTAAAAAAAAATTGTAATCTATTATATGCAAATCAAGGTAAACTATATCATTTTGCACTGTATTTGTAGTATTAAGTTGTAGGCAGGAAGGGTAGATATTAGCCTTTTTCTATTTTGTTAAAGGCAATTACATCATCAATATAACGAAATGATGTGTTGGTAGTATTTTTGATCATCATTTAGTGAACGTACAAAAGTCAATTTTTGTGTAAAAAGGAATAATTCACAGATTGCAGTTGAAAAGTTGCCGCCCATAAGTATTCCCTGTATTTGTTTAAAGATGTTGTTATTAAATTGAATATAATTATTGAAAAGAACGCTTGAAAGAAAAAGTTGCCATTTTTCAGTAGTTAATATTGTAGAAATTTGGGGAAACAAATTTGGAAGAGTAAGTAAACGGCTATAAATTTCTTCAAGTGGTAAAGTAGTATAGAGGTTCTCAAAGTCGTAGCATTGGATATGTTCTATTTTAAGTGAATTTAAGGTTTTAGTTATGCATGGAAGGTTATGGATGGTTATTTAAGGTTAAAGTTATGCATGGAATATACACACACACCCCTTTCAATATTGACAACAATGCAAACATCACGCGAAAACTATTTGAGTTCAGATGCTCATAATTCTGGGTTTAACATAAAGTTCAACTTATTTATAATTATTTCAAACCAAATGAAAAAAAAAAAAAAAAAACAAGTTTTTAGATTTTAATGGTTGCTTAAAAGAGTTCTTTTAAAATGTAATATGGTTAATCAATAGAGATGGCTCAAGTAAAACATTATATACGAACTTACACCATATAACTTCTGCATATTTGAAAAGTGGCAAAATGTACAACATAATTCTATAAAAATATTTTAATGTTTTTAATTAGATATGTCATAAATAAAAATAATTTTAATTGGAATCAATCAGATTAAACATTTTTAAAAATAATATTCTTAAAAACTGAATCCATTGCTTTAAAACAGTTTAATTTGTTTTGAAATGTAAAGTGAACAACATATTTATGTTGGACAAAAACTTGTGTTTCAAGGCTAATAGTCCTTTTATCTTAAAAAAAATATGATTATTTATTGGATAATTACCTCTTTTTGGTATTCCAATAATAATTTCATTACCAGAGATGCAAGTCTGAAAATGAAAAACAAAAAATTATTAATATTTATTTAAATAATCACTGTGTAAAGTTATTTTATGATTTAAATCTTTACTGTCACTTCTCTTTCCATTTCCCCACCGGAATGTAAACTAGATTGAGTATTTAAGCTGCAGTTGTTAGATTGTAAGATGGATCACGTGTTTCTAACTGTGTGCATGCACATTACGTTTCTCACAGCTCTGGATAGTTTGACTTACTCGGCTTTGCATTACTTGCTTCCGAATATTTGAATAGTTACTCTGATTAAACTTGTGAACCAAATCTGCTTTAAACTGACCTGTGCAGGTTTTGACTACTAGCTTACTTAAACTTTAAATTGACTGTTAGTTTAAGTTATCTTGCCACAAGTGCTGGCCGAGTTTGTCAAGAACAAGACAAGCTCTTCTGTTACATTTCTGATTTTAATAAAAAGGTTGTTAAAATGTTTTCAAGTCTGTCTATTTTAACTTCCAGACATAGCAATAATTCACTTAGAATGTGTTAGGTGGTGTATTGAGAATACGGCAAAGCACACTAGGGCTATCTGCCTTAGGAGAGGGATGCCTTCATGGAGGACTTTCTAAGGGAAACTCGCTCGTATACACGTCACACATGGGGAAAACTGCAAAAACGCCCATGCAGCCAGCCCATTCGCGGGATTTGAACCTCGGGCCGAACTACCAGTGTTCAGCGATTTTACCGCTCGGCCGCTGGTGGGCTGGCATGTGTTAGGAGTTCGCTACTAGTTTATGCAGCCCAAGAAATACAGATTCAGTAACTGTAAATAATTTTCACACAGTAATGTACTGAATAAGTTGCATAATAATATTTACTTCTATGCAAAAGGTTAAATATAAAAATAAAAGCAACAGAAAAGTGTAAAGTATTCTATGTTAATTAACCGGTATCATGATTCAAGTCTTCACTATAACTTATCCTTTCCGTATTCCTCAGTGTAATGCAAATTAAGTTTATGTGTATTTAAGCTGAGGATTTTAAATCTTTAGAGTTTCTGGGAACTGTGTCATGCTGTTAGTCTCACAAGCTCTACTTATTAATGCTGCTCAAGCATATTCCAGCTTTAGTGTTGTGCTAGCCAATGTTTTAAAATATGTACCAGTAAAATTAAAAAAAAACTTAATATAGTCTATTCTATCCATATTCTTAAACCACCTTTCTACATTTCAATTTAAATTTTGTTATGTTAATTTAAATATCCACAAATAATGAAAATTTCCTCTACAGCACAAGTCGCACCTGTTCTGTTCATCTCTGGGCTAAATAAAACAGTTATTTTAACATTCTTCAATAATTTATGAATTATTCAAAACATAGTTCTATATTAGTCTAATAGGGTCTGTAAGACTTTAGTTTCCAGTTACAATAGAAAACCTATAAAAATCATATTGTGGTGCCTAGCACAGCAAATTCAATCTGTTCCACAATGGCAATTGTTAAGTGGGACACTGTTTCCCATAGGCTACTATGAGGCTAATTTTTTATTGAGCCTGGTTCAATGCTGGAAGTATAAGGAATTAACTAATCTATTACTTTAAGACTACTTATAAACACTATGTATGCATAGATTCTAATGGTTTCTTAGAGACTTGCTTATCTCAAATTACTGCAGTGTCAATTGTGTGACCTGGACAAGGCTTTTATCACTAGAGCTGATACAACTGGTGTGGCAAAATTTTAAAGGCACTAGGAATAGGATTTAAGGAAAGCAGAGATAGCATTGTGCAGCAAGACATATAATGTTAGCACTGACATAGACTTTTTTTCAGCTTCTAGTTAATTTAATATATTTTCACTGTAAAAAATGAGAAATCTATCTACTTTCCACTTCTTCAAGAAGGTCCTTGATAGATACAACAGGACTGAACTATATGTTCTCTTTCTCCTCACCAGCAGAAACAGTCCTCTAGATCGGTGGTCTGAAACTCAAATTGCATTCACACGACCTGAGAGCAACTGGCGGCCGTATGCATGACTTGAAAGCAGCCAGGGGGACACATGTTTTTTTGACAAAATTTCCAACTACACTTCAAATAATGAACTAAATTTTAACTTCATTTCAAATTTCATTTATTAAATATTCATCAAAACATACATAAACAAAAAATAATAATAATGATACAAAAAAAATTCAAATTTACCATGCTTATTTTCTAGCTGTAACAAATTTCTGTTGGTTATATTTCATAATTCAAATGCACTAGCAGCTAAATACAAGGTTTTAATGAAAGTTTCCTCCCAATAAATATTATCTGCACAAACAGTATGCATCAAGAAAATACATTGAACTGAGTTCGGGTGCTGTTCCATCAAGATAATGCAAGACCACATGTTTCTGCATTCACCGTCTGGACTTTGTACGGACTTGAATGCGATCTTTTTCCACACCCACCATACAGCCCTGACATTGTTCCTTTAGACTTCCTTTTTTTCACACCTGCAGCTACATCTTGCTACTGCTATCATCTTCCATTCTGCACAGGACATCCGAAATGAGGTTGATCTGTTTTTTAACTTGCAGCCACCAAGTTTCTGGGCTGAATGCTTTGAAAAACTACCAAAACATCAGCAGAGACTCATAGATTTGGCTGGTAATTACTAACTGCACTAAATGTACTGCTTTCATGTTTTTTTCCCCCTAACTTTTTCAAGAAAGTTTTTCGGGGGAACACTTTCATTACAACCAGATATTAATTTTTTAAACAAACATTTATTTCAAATAATTCTAATATACTGAGTTACCCACTAAAAACTTTCAACATAAACAAATTATAAAAACTTCCTAAGCGGAACAAAACTGCAGAATAAATACCTACAACTTGTTATCTTTCTTTTATGTACTAAATTTTTATTCGTACATGCAGGAAAAATACACATGACTGTATGTAAATTATGCATTTTTATATTTTTTACTACAGCTTAACACTTGAAAATGTTTTGAGTCTGATAACTTTTGTAGCCTCGGAGAAAAATTACTATAAACTATCTTCATCATATATTGTAAATGCTCATTGGTCAATCAGGCCCTTTTGTTACATCTCTTAATTTTCAATCATCTAGTGGCTGACTCAAGGAAAGTAAAATTAACAACTCCTTAGCTGAGGAGAAAGAAACAAATTCCCCAGCATATAAAAGTTTTAACAACTTTCAGTTAGAAAATTTATAAATTGTACCAATGTACCAATAGTCTGGTTAAGCAACTTGGTATTCAGATATACAAAATCTTTAATTTTTTTTTATTTAACTGACATCTAAATCAATCCATTCTATTTCATATTCATTCACTAGCAATTGCGCATATAAAAACAAGGCACATGTTTCTTATGTTGTTTATATTTTAAATTGTCATTTCCCGAGATGCAATGATTAACGACTTTTTTTCCTTTAGCTTCTTTTGCAGGTCTGTCAAAGTGTTGTTATATATGCATTACATATGTACTTTTGGCTGTGTGCCAATGCTAGTTTTGAACTCAACTGGAATGTAATGATTACTGAAATGTTTTCTAGAGTTTTTCTATTTTCTTAATAAACACTATATTGCAATCCACTGTCCAACGAATTTATGCTATATCAAAATTTAAAAGTACTACATTAAAACTAATACATAACTGAAAGGAATTGGTAGGCTGCAAAAGACTGATTCGGGGGCTGCATGCGGCCCTTGGGTTGCTTTCTTGAGACTACTGCTCTAGGATTTTCTATATTTTTTATAAAAGGGTTTGTAGCGCTTCAGCATGACTGTAATATTAACAAATATACTCATTATCTGCTCTTTATTTATGCACATAATTTTTTGTATCTATGCAACACTAAAACAGTAAAACAAATTTAGCAATGCATTTAACAAGTGATAATATTCATAAGTGAGTCATAATGCGAGGATCAAGTTCACTATATAAAATTTGGTCCATCCGTACATTCATTATGCTAATCTTCAGAATTTTGTGAAAACATAATGTAAGCAGCAAAGACATCATTAGAAATTGGGACAGATAAAAATGAGTGTGAGAGAGCATGTGAAGGCGTATGACAGCACTTTGTTGCTTGAGTGGTGCAGATGAGTTTGGTGATCAACTGAATGCAACACAAAAATTACGTTGACAATAAAGCTCACTGTTGAACATTATAAAAAGTACAAATAATGGAAAACATGTGCTGAACTTTTTGAACAAGAATTTAAGAATGTAAATGTTTTGGCAAAATCTCCAGCAAACATGCAATGCAAATTTTATGGCAAACTGATGTGACATGCAACTTTTAGCAAATCAAAATTGTAACTACTGTAACGTATTTGCATTGCTATGCTACCAACATAATACCAGTAAGAAATGTAAAGAAACCCCACACACAGAATATCCATGCCAGAAGATGCACATGCTTAAAATATTTTTCAGTTATTTTGTAAGTTTGAATAATAAAGTTGGTTGTTCGATCAAAATGGCGAGATTTCTTTAAAACTTCATTACAGATGTATAAAAGAATAAATACCTGGTGGTAGTTGCTCAGATAGAAAGGTGAAACCAGTGTTTATTTAAAATTAAAATAAATACAGTATGTGTGGGTACAAGTTTTTATGAATATTGTGCCATTTTATATGAAATTGTTTCATAGTATTATTAAATTCAACTAACAGAATGATACTGAAAGTTTAAGCTTTTGGATTAAATATATAGCCTGATTACGATATATGCCAAAATATATAGCCTGATTACGATGTTATTTTAAAATTTGAGCTCTTGCATTAGAGTGGCAAACTTATTACGTTAATATTAGAATATTTGTATTATGAAATTTGAGTTCTAGTATTAGAATAGCAAATTTACTAGGTTAATATTAGAAGATTTGTATTATGAAATTTGAGCTCTTGTATTAGAGCGGCAAATTTATTACATTAATATTAGAACATTTCTACTACGAATTTTGAGCTCTTGTATTAGAGTCACAAATTTATTACGTTAATATTATTATATTTCTA